ACACCTCCCTCCGGCGGCCTAGTTCCTTCCACCTGTTCCTGTTCGGCTTCTTGCTCCCGCCCACGCTCCAGTCCTGCGAACTCCTTCCTTCCTACTAGGTCGGACTTTGTGCCCCTACGAACTGCCGCATCCGCTTAGCAAAAGGGACACTTAGCGGTGTCTCTGAGCGGTGTCCTGGTGTGTGGACTTAATGGAAGAATTTTTGCCGCTGATGCTTACTAACTTTGAGGTCATGTCTATGAATGAAAAGAGTGCCGATCAGGTAATAAATATTGCCAGCCTACTGAATCCTTTGTAGTTGCCAAGAGAATGAAACATTCGCAAAACGCTGTAGGACGTTTACAAATTAGGCAACTGAGACTTATCTTAATTGTCTTGCCCAAGGTCCCACAATTTAGTGAGTAACAGAACGAAGAGTCAGTCCAAAAAATTCTTGCTTTAAATTTTGGACTTCTCCCAGCACACTGCTAACAACGTTTCTAATTAAACTAGGAAGACTATGTGTTTAATATATATTACTTAATTATATATATTAGTTTAATGTATATTACTTCCTCTACTTTTGCTCTTTTATTATATACTTTCAGTTACAAGCTACTCAGTCATGCAAACATAAAAAGAGTGTCTATTTTTAACCTAGGACTTCATTTTGACAATTGTTTGTTAAGCTTATGTAATAAGCTAACTTCCGTATGATGGTCTTTAGCTAATGATGAGTGAGAATTTTCTGCCAGTGATTGCTGTGGAATTTCCGTTTGCTGGATTTCCAACTCAGGAGAAAAGCGTAAAGATAAAGGAAATTGAGGTTATTCAGGTAAAGGTGTTTTATTTTTATTTATTTATTTATTTTTTTATCCCATATAGATGACCGGTAAGGGGATCTTAACCCTTGACTTGGTGTTGTCAGCACCATGCTCACCCAGTGAGCAAACCGGCCATCCCTATATGGGATCCGAACCCGTGGCCTTGGTGTTATCAGCACCGCACTCTCCCGAGTGAGCCACAGGCCGGCCCCAGGTAAAGGTGTTTTAAAAGTAGCTTTTTCATCTAGCTGTGCTGGTTTAAATGTGGTAACTCCTGCTGGCCCATATTAATTAATGGATATGTCAGATTGAGTCAGTTCCCAAGGTGCCTTCCAATTACGTGAATCTAATTCTTCCTAAAATGTGATATCTCATGAGGCACTGGTAATATGATTGTCAAATAAAAAACCCTTAGCTTTTTTTTTTTTTTTTTTTTTAATGAGAAGACTCGGTTTTCGTAAATAATCAAAGACATAAATGTTAGGTTCTGCGAGACGGAGAAAAGAAAGAGAGAGAGACCCAAGCCAGACGCTATTTCAGCTAAGAGTCCTTTATTCCACCAACATGGAGGGGAGACTGAGTTAGATCAGTTCCCCTAAACAAAGAAAAGCCGGAGGTTTATAAGGCTTTGAGAGTTCTGGCAGAGTAATGGGAAATTTCGAAAGCAGTGGTATGCAAGGTGTCACAGCCATTATGTCTGATAACATCTGGTCAGTTAGGGCATAGGCTTCTGAAGCATTCCTTCCAGCCCAGCCCAATTGCCTTAAGCTGGCCATGAAGCCTAATAATAATAAAGCACTTGAAATTATTTGAAAATAAGACATAGAATCTTTGTTTTCTACACTGATTACTTACAAGGTAAAGAAAATCTTTAACGGTGTTTTATTAATAGCAGACTAGTAATCCAAGAAAACTGTTGTTTTGACAGATAAAGAAAACTGTCAAGGAACAAAATTACAACAAATTTAGTTAAAAATCTCAACTGGCTTTATTGCGATTCTAGAATCGGGCACCATGTCATAAGTGTTCCAATGAGCTGAGCAAAAGAGTTTGATTTTATAGACAGAAAGTCTGAGGAAAGCAGAAACAGCAGAAAATGGTTTGGTCATAGAGAAATAACTGACTAGTTAACATCAGGTTACTTCAGGCTATCTCTTTTGTGTAAGGATTAAAACAGAGGGAACTTCATTATCATGTCTATTGAGGATCAAAACTGGAAATTGGTGGTTATTTCTTGTCCTGGTTCTCAGAATGTCTGACCACAACATAAGTGACCTGGAACTCAGCAGGGGGGACCCCATTTTGGTCTTTAGTCTGGTCTTTTGGGGCCTAGTGCCGGAACTTAGTCTAAAACAATGGCTTCTTATAATTTTTCTTTAATAAAACTAAACTGTAGTTTTGATAGTTTTGCATCAGTACAATGAGCTCATTTAAAAATAAAACTTATATGGGCCGGCCCAGTGACTCACTCGGGAGAGTGCGGTGCTGATAACACCAAGGCCCCGGGTTCGGATCCCATATAGGGATGGCCGGTTAGCTCACTGGCTGGGCGTGGTGCTGACAACACCAAGTCAAGGGTTAAGATCCCCTTACCGGTCATCTTTTAAAAAAAAAAAAAATTAAATTAAATAAATAAATAAAAATAAAACTTATGAATAAATCCATTCACTTAGCCAGCTTGACCGTACAACTTTTTTTTTTTTTTTTTGTCTTTTTGTCTTTTTTCGTGTCCGGCAACGGATC